GGGTTCACTTCTAAATGAGTATTTCCCCCCTCAACAGATAGAATAGGAAGATTAGAGTATGAAAAGGAGACAATTTATAGTGAGTTTTCTGTTCTTAAGAGGGGTTTTAATTCGGATGCGACAGACATGTTCCAGCTGCTGCTTGCCTTCACATTTTCAAGAGGACATTTTAAGTGCCACTGTAGCAAGTGCTGAGTGTCCCCAGAAAGATGAGAGTTGTGCTTGTGCCTGTCACTGGCTCTGGACTGACCGAGGCTTTTCCCTGTAAAATTCACACTGCACCGTCAGCTCTCTTCTTCCTCATGTCTCTCTCACATCACTGCCAGAGGGGATACCCTTCAGGATAACTGAAGAATAGATGTTTTAAAAAAATGTGATATAAAGATTGCGGGAAAAAAAAAAAAAAGATGTTTTAGATATAGCTTCACTGCTTTCTTTGCATTCCTCTAAGAAATTAATGAAGTTAATCATAGTCATGATCTCCTATTGACCAGGGAAGCACAAAATCAACCACAGGACACCTTTAAAACAAAGAAGGGGCTGATGACACCTCCCAGTATAGGGGCACCGAGCAGGTTGCCACAGTCGCGACATTCACGACACTGATTATTGAATCAACATCTTCCCACAGAGTCAAAGGACAGAGACACCTTGGGTGTCTGTAATGGGAATAATCTTACCCTGGGGCAATGTCCTGCCTTCTCCAGTGAAACTGGTGTCTGGCAGCCTGGTGTGCAAGTGGTTTGAACTACTTCTTACCCTCTGCAGATTAAACACTGAGAGTCGCCATGACTAAATTAGGTGCACATAATCAGCCAAATAATCCTGTGTGGAAATGGGCCAGGAAAGAGGATTTGTCACTATCTGTTTCTTCCTCGTCGTCCCGTTACCCAATACACGCACAACATTTGTACTCTCCCACCCCATTTTACGGACAGCAAAGTGAGGTGGATAATTTAAGCCACTTTTTAAAAGCCAGACAGAAATAAGTGCCAAAAACTGGAACTGGAGCTGCCGGGTATGAGCCAGGACAATTTTAGAACACAGACACAGAATCTCCCAGACTGGACTTCTTACACTAAAACCACAGATTTTATATGGCACTTTATAAAAATAACAAACATGATGATTAAGCACTCAAGTTGAGCTGGCATGAGAGCTTGGCAAAACTCTTTCAATAGTTCTTTGCTCATAAAAAGCAAGCTTTGCAGAATTCAGAGTTTCATGGATTTCTTCAGTTTTGACAAACTTAAGCTCAGCAAAACTGAAACCTCTTTAAATATTTCAGGTTGGCTTCTTCATATAAAAGTAATTCTGCATTTCCAAACCAGCTTGATCTTCCTGCCTCTACTTATTCATTACAAGGGGTGGTGAAGGTCCTCCCAGTGTAGAGCTGCTCCCCTCTGCTATGTGTTCTGATGGGCAGGGGAAGAGGTAATAATGGAGATAGCAAAGACATTATCTAAGCTATTAAAATAATACCACATTTAAAATACTGTCACAAACACCATAAGCCCCTGAAATAAATAGCCAACTTACACCTCAGAAGTGAGGTTGTTCCAATCTCTACAAACAGAGAGAAACCTCTGTGCCCACACCCCCAAGTAATTATTTGAACTTATTTTCTCCCCATCATTAGCAACTAGAGTATGAAAAGTAAATGCTGCTCAGTAAAGACAGCTAAAATGTCTTATAGGCCTTGCTCTTCTTGGCTGGCATACTGCACTTTTCCAGATGCTTCACCCCACAAAGCTGAGAATCTCAATACTGTTCTATTTTAGTCCTATTCACAGTGAAATGATGGCATAAAGTGATTCTTCCATCAAGGCATTAATATCAGAACAAGATGAGAAGGAAAAAAAAAAATTGAATTTGTCATGTAAAAAACTGAACAGAAAATCAGTCATAGAAATATGATTGGAAAGTATTTTCATGCAGGAAAATTCATATTTACATAATACTTATGTATTTAAGAACAACTGGTATACCTGTCTACCGTGTGACAATTTTGAACGTTTTACCCATTTTGGAGGCAATTAGGCATCTATTCTAGGCTTCTGTGCTCACTCTAATTTCTTCATTTCTCCACCCACCTGAATCTGACACTTTGACATTTTTGCTTGTTAGAATGGAAATTCAACATTTAGCAAGGCCAGGCAATACAAGGTCAAAAACCAGTGAGAAATATATATATACTGAAGGAAGGATCATGGAAGTTTACATCAATAAGACATGCAGTTTCATTTTTCTGTAATTTTTAACAAAACAATGGCTGTCATGAGATACTAAAACAAGTTTTGAAATATTCATCACCATTTTCTTGTTCAGTCTCAAAATAAATTGCTTCAGCACTCAGAGCTGTGGGTAGGTATTGAATAGCATTATGTCTTTTAGTCTAGCACGTCGACGGAGAAGAATTGCCTCTAACACCGTGCTATTGTTCTATTTAAAGAATCTTAAGCAAAAGGGATTTCATTACTTGAGTTGGAAGATTATTTAACAGACTAGTAGACCTTATGACTATGAAGTATTTCCCAATATTATACTGACATTCTTCAATTTGAACTCACAGCACTTAGCATGCCTTAACTCATTCGAAACAATCCACCCTTCTTCCAATCCCCCACACATCACATTCTTCCACAGTGCTTGACAAACTCCTTCCCTCGTGGCACTTGCAGCAAGTTAGAGTCTATGCTGATGAAGCACACAGAGCTAATTGTGTGAACAGGACATTCAGCTGATCACTCAAAATGCAGATACAAGCTAGAGGACTCTAAGCCCCTCAAACCAGTAAAATAGAAGTAGACCAGAATGTACACTCTGAGGATGGTGTTTCCTCACTGCAGAATCACAAGGTAATACTGGGAATCTTGTACTGGGAACCTCAACTGTGGGCCTTTAGTGGACGACATGAACCTCTCATGCAAGTTTTATTGGGGCAGACACAGGGAAAGCTTCCATACAGTGCATTTAAAATTCCAAAGGAAAATACACAAAGTATTTTGTATTAGTAAAGTATTTTGTTATAAGTTGTTTAAATTGGAAGTTTTTCTTTCTGTTTACACAATTGTTTCTCTCTACTCCAAATCATAGTGGTTTCAACTTTAACATGACTTTCTAGTTGTTCACTTTTTCTCGTATCTTGCAGAATACATTCACACTCCTCTAAGAGTGAAGTATCTCAATTTTTCAATTCCAGTCAATTTAGACTGTAAACAAGCAATAGGTTTTTAGACAAACAAAACCTCCTTTTTCTAAATAAAGAATAATGGTTTAAAATATCAGGCATTTTTGGAAAACCTTAAAAGTAGTACACCAGAGCTGGGGCTAAATTTGAATTTTTCTGGTAATCTTGAACAAGAATATTAGTGGACAAACCTATCTGTGGCACAGAACAGATCTGTGGAGTACAGACAGCAGGACCTGGAGCTGAACCTCAGCCTGGGCTTTCCTGGAGCTGCCCCTTCAGTCTCAACACAAGATAGGGCAGCGCCTCATAGGAGCAGAGCCCTGTTACAGCTGATCCTGGTTAGCAGCTGGTGGCAAGACTGTCGCTGTTGGCATGCTATTGGCAAAGAGGAGCCTGGCTGATAGTCAGAATCCCGGGATGGAACTCCAGGAAAGACCCGAGGACAAGCAGACAAGTACTGAGCGGTGTGTCCTGTCTCACCATGGGAAAAGAGAACAGTCCCTCCGCTTCAGTAAATTGAGTCCATCTGAATGGGTCAGGTATTGCCAGGAAGTCAACCAAGAAGCACAGCACAGGCTCCGTGCACATCCAGGCTTACTGCTTTTACAGGGGTCACAGGAAGGGAGAAATCTGGTGAAGAGCAAAACTTCCACATCGCAGCTCCATTAACAAACTTCCCTTCAACACAAACATCACGTCTCCTTATTCTAAACAAGCGGGCTTTACTTCCTAGACAGAGACACTAGCTGGGACTTCTGAAAAGAAATGTGTTTAGGCAGAACTAGCACCACAAGACATCTGGCAGAGGAGAGAAAAGCAAGAACAGGATCTCACTGGGGTCTCTTAAAGAATCACTGATTACCCTAAAACACTCTGTCCCTAAAATAAACCAGTGTTTTCCTCTCACCTAGCCACAGTCATTGGCTTTTTAGTAACCTACAATATGTCATGATTTTGAAATGAGCCCCTTGATTTACAACAGTAGCAGCTCCTCTATTTATAACAAATTCACACTTGTAAGATATTATCCACTACTTTTGTCTCTGTGACATGCAGAGATGCTGCTTAAATAGAAAATTGTGTTATGCGTGTTTGAAGACTTCTAAAGCTAGATAATTTTGCATTTTTCTACCCTACTGAGCTAGGAAATTAACAGTAAAACTTTTTCTTGCCCTCCAGGAGACCTGATTTAGTCAAAGACACGATCTCAGGTAGTGGCTACAGAATCAGCTATTTATTTAATTTAAATAAAACTGTTCTTCCAGCAGACAGTGAAGGGAAGAAATAATATGTCATGCTAAGATTCCTGAGCTAATACTTCTCCCCTACATCCTTTCTGTGCATGTTGAAGTGCACTGCTGCTCTGTGTTAAATAAGCAGCGGTAGAATGGAAAGCAACTAATTTGTGCTCCCTGGGTGCTGAGCAGCTAATTTAACTCTTGCTGGCACATAGCCTATAAATAGAAAAAGAAGGTAGAGTTTCATACCGATAACATTTTTATGAAAGTTAATAAACTAACAGTAAGGAAACATATTTTCGTCCTACCTATCTGGCCCATGAACAGGAGTCCAAAGCAAGCAGGTGATGTTAGGTGTCACCTTGTTTCATGGCTTACCAAGGGCTGGCACCGTAAACACCAGATGTGCCCTCACCTGCTTGGCAGCACACCTTCTCCTTCCCTCACCCTCGTCCAGGATGAAGCATTATCCTTTTGGAACTAAAGAACAGACTTCTGGGCCAGACAGCATGTCACAGGAGAGAGGGCATGACACTTGGGAGGGGCTCATTCTCTTGCTCTCACATGGAGGCGGAGGGAAACCAGACAACAGCTTCCACGAGTTATCTAACTTGGCAGCAAGGGCAAAGTTATAGGTGCTGTTTTTCATCAGGTAATGGGCTGAGCTCATCTCTACATGAATTCGTACAAGCAGAACACTTCCCCTGAGTAATTTTCATACCCATCAAAAGTGATCTTGAAATATGCACAAGCTGGTCACAACAACCTGATCCCAACACTAAAGAGCACTATCATCCTCAGCTGAGTCAGCTGAAACCAAATGCTTCCACGTCCTTCCAGTGACTGGAATGTGGTTTCACTTTTTATGGGCTTAATGTACAAAGATAATATAAAAATACACCAGAATATAAAAATGAAATCAATTTCTTTCTAGGGAACTGAAGAATCAGATTTAACTTTCTATGTCTGAGATTGCTAATGCTTCTATCACAGTTTTTTTTAAAATATAAATCAATTGATTTAAATTCAGCAGCTTGGAGGATTTTGTTTTTAGATTTGTATGAACCTGTATACATTCAGTGTGTTCAAGGATAGTGCTGTACCTACAGATGTCATTTTTTTCAGATTCCCACCTGAAACTGTTAATCAACAATATTACTTGCAGAAACATAGTTTAGATCTAATCAGATATCAGGTAATTCTGTCCTTAACACAGGTTTTATATAAATAAAGACTGAAAGATTACAACACCAGATAAAAGGAGAAGTTTTCCAAAGGCATAAATGTAGAGTAAAAGCACAAAGTGAAAGGGGTTGGCTAACCTCGAAGTAAAGTTTATTAGGAAATAACCAAAAATGAGTGATCAGTCCAACAGTGAAAAAAGATACAAGCATGCTTGGGAGCAATGGAAAAGCTAAAAGTCCCTGCTGACATTAGTCTTTTGCATTTCAATCACCCCATGTTAAGGGGAAAGAGAAAAACCTCAGGGTTTTAAACTATATTAATTGTATTTATTGCAATTAATTTCAAATTAATACAAACAATGAAAGATTCAGGAGCCTGCAGCATCTTGTCTCCTCTGCTGCTTCATGTCACCTGGTGGCCCTGTCTGCTCCCCTCCTGGGCTGATACCACTTGCTTTGATATTGACACAGTTTAGGCTCAATCCAGTCTTCAAAGAAAAACTGGCATGAAAATCCCTCAATCCCCCTTTCTGCTCTGAGCCCAGGGAGTGAACACATTTCCCAAGGACTGCACAATCCGGTGGGTATTATTTTCTACTTAACAAAATTAACAGCCTCTACAGAAAATAGGGATTGTTCAAAGTCTGGTAGATGTGCTATGATATCAGTCCTGACCCCTTTCATATCACTGGCATTATTTGCTCAATTTTCTAAACTAAATTTATTATACTGAATATTAAGAAGCAGAAAAAAAATTAGATGTGAAAGACTTTATCTCTTATTTTAGATAATATTTGTCCTGTTCTGTATTGGCTGCCATTTACTTGCCAAACACAGTTCAGTCTGTTTATTTACTGTTTCAGCTTGTAGGAAGGGATGTTCCAGATAAAAAAAAAAATACAAGAATGCCTCAGATTCGCCCTTAATGGAATTTTCTCCATAGCAGGGAAACAACCTCTTCAACATTCAGGCCGTATTTATCTGTTACTATTAATATTTTAAATAGTTGTTAGAATTTAGTGATTGATTATTAATACTTAATAATTATCATTAATATTTTTAAACCACTGGGCAATCAAGATACCAAACCAAAGTCAGTGGCACAAAAGAGATTAGCTAGCACTGCACAGGTTCCATTAGTCCTGAACTATGTGGAAACTACAGCCTGGACAATCCTGGAACACACATGTTCACTATCCCCCCAGAAAGAAGAGCACCTTTGGGACTTACGGTTGGTTGTCCTGCTCTGGTCACTCTGAGCGCTGTCGTTTGACTGGTTGCTGGAGACAGAGGACACACTGGAGCTCCTGACAAAACCAAATGCGGCCAGCTTAGCTGCTGGCAACCGTGAATAACCTGGGGGACGAAGTCCAGACGGGCAGGGCTTGGGGAGATTTGATTTTGCAGCACTTGGACATGATCCTTTCTTAAGATCAACTGAAAGAAGGAAAAAGAAGGAAATTTTTGTTAAATAAATTAACTGGGAGATGCTGACCATTACCTGTATCTCCCAGCTACATAAAGGCAGCATTAAGACTGAACACAAGTTTTAATGACTGATCAGACTGCAGTGATGTCTTATTCTGTGCTGCATTGAAAAGACATTTGGTGGAAAAATTACAGGTCACAATCATTTTTAAAAGGTGAAATGTGTCAAGTACCTATGGGGCATAACTCAAACTTCCAGCCAAGTAACATAGTTCAACATTGGTACAAATTTCTTTCAATGTTACCTTCTTCCATGCTGTATCACTTTATAATTTTGCATTTATTATCTGCCAATTAAAAAAACTCACAGAGACAAACACGCTATGCATAACCTCCAATTTTGGAAAGTATTGTAGACCAGCAACAATCCTCTCCAAGTACACAGGACTTCTTTGTATTTCATCAAAGAAAACACTTCTTTGAAGTTATTCTTTCAAATTCTACTAAAAAAATTTCCCTTTTCTTGCGCCAAGCCTGGGAACAAGGACATGACCTGTAAAGTCCTACTTTTTTAACATACCACTGGCCATTTCCAGTGGTGGACTTCTCCTTGTTAAGACATCAGCCCATGCAAGAGACATCTACCAGGTCTCAGGCAAGTGCCAGTAGCAGGTTTTTAACACCTGAAGTTAGACCACAGCAGCAGGTCAGCTGTGATTTCTGCCTGTGGTTACAAACCACTCATCTGTCTTCAGCTTCTGTCCCAACCTCTACTCCGCTGCTCTTGCTCAGGTAAATTTTACTAGGCAAATACAGAGCACAGGTTCAAATATTTCTCTTTTCCTTCACAGGCCAAAGGTCCATGATCATGGCAGTCTTGCCTTCAAGGTCAAGGACCAAAGATTTCGGTTTGAAGGTATGGATACCAAGTGACTCCAGACCTCAAATGTACAAAAATTTGAACAGAGCTTGCTAGATTTGAGAATACCAGATTCCTGATGCTTGTGGAATCCTGTGCAGAAAAAATGGATATTTTTTTTTTAAAAATACTAACAACAATCCCCAAAACCTGATGCTAGAGTGTTTAATCAGGACCAGCAGGATAGAAGACAAGGCAGCATTAAAAGCTATCAATGTGTTCTGCCAGAAAAGGCCACAAAGTCACCCTTTCTCCTTTCTTATTCAGTGAACACTATTTGTACACTAGCCTGACACAAACTTCAAAGGAAGAAGTGAACATTTATAATATAAAGAAAAACACAAATTAACTTCACAGTAAGAATATGGCCATATTATTACAGTATTTAATTCTTTTGTAAACTATGTAGGTCACAGCCTTATTAATTTTAATGAAGCATTTCACTTTGAGAAGACTTTAGAGAAAACAAGATTAACTCCTTTGAGCAGTAAAATGTTACAGGGATTTTGAAAGATACTTGTGTACCTCATCACAATACTAATGCTAAGCTTTGTTTAAAGTAACTGAGCCTTTACAGAAATAGGTGTAACACCAAGCTAAAAAGAGTTTTGTTCTCCTATGAAACACATTCCTATAAAAAAATGCTTCTTGCTCAACAAATAAAACAATTTATATACTCCTGGCTCTTAAAAATGCATTTCTGTACCCACTTTTCCCAAGCTGAGGCTTTTATTAAGACTCAAGGAGGTGGATGTCTACCTTTGCCAGCCCAGAGAAGTACATTCTGTGCAGAGTAACCCAGATAAAAATAACAAATATCTATAGTGAGCAATAGAAGACTGCTAAAACCCCCATTCACTTTTCTGGCACCAGCAGAGGCAATTTTGGACTATGATCCTGAAAGTGGCTTCATTTGGGCATTGTGAAGAGGGGCTCAGAGGCAGCCATGGGTTCCAGGTGCGGGTGAAGGGCAGAGCAGGCACATTAGCACAGAGAGGAGATAACCAGTGATGGTCACCCTCAGTTTTTTCCAGGTTTGTGCAGTGCTGCTTTGAAAGTGGCCTACTACAGCTAATTTATGGCTAGCTGCAAAGCACTCAAACTTCTCCCCTGCCCACTGCAAAATATTCCATGTGCTGCATCTGGGACACGACCAAGCCCAGGCACCCTCCAGGTCTGAAGCCAAGTACTTGTGGTGAGCAGCTGCAGGTACAAGGAACCTGCCCAGCTCAGTGGCAGCAGGGAGAAGGTATGGGGCTGTCTCTCGTGGATTTTACAGGTTTCCAAAAAATGCACCTGGACTACGTAAGCTGAGGTTTCTTTTTCTAAAGCATCACTGAAAACTTTAGAGAAAACTTAGGTGGAGGGAGGGATATTTCCATTTTACAGCAACAAACTATAAATATCACAGACCTCCTGCAACAAAATAGGGGAAATTCCACTGGGGCAGTGGGATAAAGTTAGAAATGGCTTTATTCATTTCAGACATGCATGGCCTAGGGCAGTATGGCTCACCTGGGACTCCCAGGTCCCCAGCTCAACCACAGGGATGCCCACATCAAGCCCCCAGTTCTCTGCAGTCTATGACTGAGCACAAGTGTCACTGAAGAATTTCCTTAAAACCAGAAGGGTTGACAAACTGCCCAGCCATCTTTACTTTTCCTTCAAAGTCATTCTTCCAGACTTGGGCAGAAGAGTCAGTGTATTTTTCTCATACTTTTTTTTGTGTGTTTCTAGTTTATGACTTCAATTCAAATTCTCTCTGAACTAACAATATTTTGCATCTTGAACTCATCATTTTCCTTAAATTATTTTTCACTTTTCTTCTTTGTAATCCAGTTCCTCTGTACCACGAGGACCTGGGGGCAGGACATTATCCTCATTAGGGATGCATTCAAATCCTTAAAGCTAAGTAATTTTGTGTATTCTTTCTCATTAAAATACATGAGACATCAGCCTATTGTATGCATTTTCTGTTCTAAACATCATCAAGTTTTCTCATGCATGTTTTTTCTTTATTTCTGTTCCTTAAAAGTATAGAAGTACTCCTGCAAACAAGGTCTGTGAGTTCAAAACAAAAGTTATTTTAATGAGCAGCTTTTATTTTAATAAAAATCTGCCAAAATAAGCTTAAAAATCTTTCTAGTTGTCTCACTGCCTGAATTAAGTATTGTTGTCTGTATGCACACAAGTGATTTTCTATGACACTTCAAGCTGTTCCCATCCAGAAACATAAAAACATTTTGAATTAGGGACTGATTGACACAAAATAGATGTGCCTGGGGAGACTTAATAAAAGTCTGAACTTCAGTTCTTATGCATCCCCACTGCACACAGAATTGCATCTTCGTGCATGGGTAAAAAGCAACTTTCATGTAACTTCCCTGTGAAATCTGAAAATCCTTTTAGCTGAAATGAATGAAAAATTAAAGAAATGAGTTATACAGATATCTTCTTATGAAGAAGTGTAGCAGTTCAAGACGTTAAAACTCTGTAATTCAGGGACTTTTGGCAAGTCTTTGCTATCTGGTCGTAGGGTTTTTTGTTTTCTTTGCTTTCCCTTTTTTTTATTTTTTTATTTTTTTTTTTAAACCAGCATTTCTGTTGAAACTTTAATCATTAGATGTCATTTTCTCTCACTTACTGATGATCTGAACATCACTATTCTCATTTCATATTGGGAAATCTGGGGTAAAAAACTTACCTCCAATGTCACCACATCAGTCAAATACAAGCTGAGTTAACCCAGCTCAGAGTTAACCCAAACATTGGTACCTTTGCAGATTAAAAACAAATCACAAAAGTGAGCTACCTAGTCTGCCGCTACCTTTGTGGTTTCCCTGTATAGACATAATAACTTCTCTCTGAAGAAGAACAGAGGAAAGGGGCTTTAAAACAGAGGCTTTAATGATTCACACCTAAACAGCAGTGAGCAATTTGGGCCCAGCTGCCCTGATGGTCTCTCATCCAAATACTGTCAAGCCTGGGACAGTTCAGTTCTGAAGGCCAAACAGTTGTCACTGCAGAATATTGATTAATTTCTGAAGGGTCAGTCCACCATCATATGGTAGTAAATGCTCACCTCCTTGTAATTCAGATTTAAAAGCACCAAAAATCTGCTCTGTGCCTTCCCAGCTCCCAGGCAAACCAAGGCTGGTTAGCACATTCTCAACACCCCAAGAACTTGTCATCTCACAATTCATTCAAGCTGCAAATGTCCGTGTTCACTTGGCAGCTAATGTGAAAAGCACGGCATCCCTCAAAACCCATGCAGCACAGGAATCATCTGTGCGTGAGTCCCACTCATTGCACTTTCCACTGGCAGCCCAGAGCAGCCAGAACACTTCTCTGCACTGGAGCTTCATCTCATCTGTCCAGCTGCTTCTCACTGGCTGCTTGGAAGGGCTGTGGATGTCCAGCCAGAGACAACACTTGGCTCTCACCAGGAAGGAGACAAGGTAGGAAATATTTACTTGCTCTTACACCCAGATTGCTCCACATACTGTTCTTATGAATGACAGCTTGGCACCACTGTCATAGAGACAACCCTTCTGAAATGATGAGGTTTAGTTCCTTGAAGACACAGTAACTGGAGCAGAGAGGTGGCAGATGGTGATATCTCAAGTAAGATGACAATGTCCTTAAAAAAACTCATGAGGAAGTGTGTGTGTCCCTTTGAAACTTAGTTTTTTTTAATGAAATTCAGTCAGATTGCACTCTCAAAGAAAACAGAGTGCCAAGTGACAACTCTGCAGGTTAGTGGAGGACAGAGAACATTCTCCTCTCTGAACTATTCTACTGTCCCTCTTTCCTTAAACGTTTAAGAAGCTTGCCAGTTCAAACCCACGTACCTCAGACTGCAAGTACTGACAGAGCTGGAGTAGTAGTAAGGCAACATTTCCTCAAAACCTCTTTTCTATCATCACATCTAATTAACATGTTCAATTAATAGGCCACTATTGGGTTGTTTATTCCTGAGAATAAACATGAAAATAAAGCTCTCCTGCTGGGAGAAAGCTGTGTACATGTTGTGGCATATGAGATGAAATACACTATACATATGCAAAGACACAAATAAATGCATGTATCTGAGTCTGTCTGAGGAATGAGAAATATTGCAGTCCTGAATTATGGGTAAATTCTATCTTCAATCAAAGTTGACTTGCTTAGAAATGAGAGGAACAGCTTGACCCTCGGGACTGACAAGTTTAATACACAGAGAGGTGATAAGGAAGTAACATTTCATTAACTCACTATTTGAGAAAAAAATACCCTAAACACTGCTGAAAAATGTAGAATTAAGTTAAATTAATGAGCATAATTAAAGTGAAGTTTTAATGATGAGATCTCTGTTACACTTTTCAAAATCAGACATTAATTCCATCAAAATAATCAGCTAATGAATGCAAATCCTAACACACTTGCTTCAAGAAGTCTTTATAACCAAGGAAAACATATTAATATTTTACATGTTATAGACACAGTATGCTTCAACGCTTGTTTTGAATTACAAGTTTCCCATAGAAAGAACAGAGTCTATTTGCATAAAAATAAACAAATATTAAGCTTTCAGAGACTCCATGGCACCTATATCATAATTAAATGACTTCTTATTTTACCTACTTTACAGAATGCTTTTTCTTACAGTCAGGCTGCTTGTCTGACCCACCTGAGGCAAAGCATCCCTGAAGGAGCAGCGCTGCTTAATGCCACCATTGCCACCATATGTCCTATACTCTACTGATGAAGGATTGCTGATCCAACCACACTTTAGGTATCACACTTAGAGGTCGCACTTGAGGGAGCACTCATCATTATTTTACTTTCTACTTGGCGTAACGTAAAACTAACAAAACCCTTTTAATGCACTTATAATACTTGCAGTCCATCACAGCAGTTCAGGGATTTAATTATCAATTATTTCAGAGTCAGTTTTATGAGGATTAGTATTGTACATGGGCCAAACCACTCAGCTTATCAGTGCTGCTTAACCAGACAGCTGTATTATGAATGGTATGGCAAAGGGGAATAAAATCCTCATTATGAGGCACTGCTGCTGTCCTCGATACCGTGCCACAGCGATTTCAGTTTAAAAGCCTCTGTGGTCCTGCACACTTTGTCACGGGATAGCAACTGGCTAGATCCTTCTGTTTCCATTACCTCAGGGCTGGACTGCTATCATTAGGACTGGAAACTGGATTAAAAGCTCAGGATCAAGCTGCAAGAGATGCTGATTAGCAATCTTGAAGGCAGGCCTGATATCCCTGACAGAAAAATACCCTTCTAGTCCCTAGCTGCTTTTGCTGAGGTTACCCAAGCTCTCACACCCCACAACACCCATGAGCAAGCCTTACTGGCTCTGCATCCCAGGTGCTGACCACATGCTCATGCATGTCACTTGCTCATCTTTGCAAACTCCATCAAAGCTGTGTTTAGTCTCGTTTTTCAAATAGTGCAGCAGAACCAATGATGCAGACCAAATATACTGCAAATAATACTACAGCTAACAGCCAAATTAAGGGAAAGTGGTTGAAAATGGCATTTGGTACCTTAAAACAGATGGCTAAAAGGTGTTTGGACCTACTATAAGTCCCTCCAATTAACACCCCAACACCTCTGGCATGCC